ACCTAGTCATTTGAGGTTAAATGATTTTTCTCTAACATTGAAATGATTTTAAAAGACTAAGAAAATTAATTGTGCAAAACCTTTGCAGTATCTAAGGGTGGTACCATGGGCAGGGAAGAGGCAGAATCTCAAGCCAGTAACATCTTTAGGATGTAGGTGGTGATACCCAGGCAGGATGCATTCCAAGTCAGTTGAAAGCACAAGAAAACTCAGGTGAACACTCCCCCACTATTAGGGCACCTGGGATGGAGGCTGGCAGACCCAGCCTAGAAGGGTCTCTGCTTCCCTCTGCTCAGAGGAACTGGGGGTTTGTTTTTAGGACAGACAGAGTCTTATCTTTCGGGAGCCCATCCACCTATATCATTGCTTCAGTGAATAACAGCCAGGCAGAACGATGGCCTGGAAGCACAAAAACAGAAAGTTGAGGACACCTGCATTTTTATGTGCTCAAGGGTAACATGAGCGTGCTCCACACAACACATGGCGCTAAGGGAGCCTTTAGAGCCGCATGCTGCAAAGAGCTTCACAAATGCCCTGTGAGGCAGGTGAAGGCCGCTCCATGCACAGCTGAACCACGGAGGACACACCCAATCTGAGCACAGTCACCGTGAACAGGCAACTGGCAACAGAAGGAAACCAGTTTCAGTGCACCCTCAAAAGTTAGGATAAACCAATCCCTTTGGAAATTCAATTACAAGCTTTAACAGAATTCACATCTTTGGACCCAATAATTCTGCCTTGGGGAGTTTATCAGAAGGAAATAATCAAAAATACAGAAGAGCTTTTATGCACAAAGGTGTTCATCAAAGCGTTATTCCTAAGGGTGAAAATTGTCAAAAACAGCACTATCCAACAATATGTACACAATTTTAAAATTCAAGTACATGTACATAAAAATATGCAGCAATTTAAAATCATATTTATAAGAAAAATGCTCATAATGTAATATAAAATGGGAATGATCAGGTTACAATATTGAATATACATTAGAACACAGTTCTGTAGGAAGAAATTCACTCAAGAAGACTGGAAGGATGTAAGCCAAAATGTTACCCGAAGAAACATTCACATGGCAAGGATGCATGTGGAAAATTATTTCTCTTCTTTTGACTCTTGTGCTTTCCAAGTTTGCTTATAATGAGCAGATGTTACTTGTAAAAGGAAAAAAATTTAATTTTTGATATAAAATAGTATCTAAATGACTAAAATCATTTCTAAATTGTATATGCTGAGAAACTTTAAAATAACATATCAGTTCTTCTATGCAAGGATTCACCTAAGATCATAATTAAGAAGTTAAATGTGCAATATGCATCTATGTGAGTATACCCACACTCACCCACAAGGCAAGAGGTCAGTTTGAACTCCACCACAGGCTTGTCGACGTGGCACAGGGGCAGGGGCCTCCCAAGCTCCCACCACCCTCATGGTACTTTCACATGCTCCAAACAAACACAGCTTCACGGCAGGTCTCCCAGCCCTCCTCCGCAGCCAGAGTGCCACCCCAAACCCTCTTAATGAGGAATTCTCAGCCTCCTCCCTCCAAGAGAATTGGAACATAAAGTGACAAATTTCTTTTAGTGGACACAGGGTGAACTGCACAGTGACGTTTGCCTGGCCCTAAAATAAGATTTAAAGCCTAGGGAAGATGCCTCAACGCCTTCACCATTTAGATTATCTAAGGCAAGCCTCCTTTCCATTAGCCCAGAGAATCAGCAAAATCCAAAATCGTAAGAACAGCAACCCAACTAAGGCCATGGGCTGGGCACCAGGCTCCTGTTCACCTCCTTCTAAAACTAAAGCTTCACCCAGCTGCCCGGGCAGGCAGGGTGTGTCAGCCCCTTCATCCTACATCACAGGGAATCTTGCAAACTATGTGGGCAGACAGATGGGAAGGGAGACCAAGAATAAAAATAATGAGCCTAGTCTACAGGGACTGAGCTCCAGAGAAGGCCAGGCACTCAGGTCTCCTTATTTCACTGCCAGTTACTTCCTAGAGAGAGATGGGGAAGCTAAAACTTTCACCATGCAGGTGCTTGCACACCCAACAGTGTAAACACTATTCAACATGTGACAGTCTCTTGAGAATGGGCAGACCATTATTGCGATCCCCCCGATGAAGGAACAGCACAAGTCAGTTGATTTTTTTTTTTGAGACGTGACCCCCTTGAGCACCCTGGCCCCTCTCTAAACCCTGCTCTGCTGAGTGCCGGCTCCCAGTGCTTCCCAGAATTTAACATGAGCTGAGCACCTGGGGTCTTGCGAGGATGAGGGTACTGATTTAGCAGGTCTAGGTGATGCCAATACCAACTAAAACTCAGTCTCTGAGGGTGGGACCAGGTGGCGGGGAAGCTCCCCAGGGAACCCCATGTGTGCTCCAGGCCACACTGCGAGACAACCTGAAGAGGCCACCGGCACCAGCCAGTTCCCGCCTGCACCAAGTGTCCCCTCAGGGAGCAAGGCCAGCGTGATGGCACTGGCCTCGGAGTTGCTGTGAGGACCAGAAGAGGACACACGGCAGGAGCACAGTGCCTGGCACACTGTGGCTCCAAAACGGTGGCCATGGCCATCACCCCACCACTGCCACCGGTTCAGCCAGGCTGGCACAGCGGGGAAGAGGCCAAAATAAGGAAACAGATTGTTGGGAAACTCATGTGAGCTGAAAGAGAGGAGCCAAAGTATTCTCAGCAAAAAGAAATGATAAAATGTGCAGTGATGACCAGAGCCGATTAGCCTGACTTGTTCACTCCACAACATATACATGTATCAAAACATCTCACTAGAACCTACTAATATATATAACTATTATTCATAAATTACAAATAAAACAAAAACGTGAGGTGGGGCAGAGCTACAAGTGGGTGGCTGTGACAAGTGGGGAGGAAGGTGGGGTGACACAGCCCTAGGGGTAACAGCTGCCATGTACCTTGGCTTAATAAGTGAGAGACACTGTCCTCCCTGCAAGAATCCTCCAGGCAGAACCACAGGATTCTGAGTATTCTAAACAGAGCCTCAGTTTGGCCTTTCCCTTTCCCTTGGGGCAGAGGAACCCCCAGCACCCCAGAGTGTGAGGAAAGCATGGCTACCTCAGTGGGAGCCATGTGAACCAGCATCAGGTGCAGCAGGTTGAGGAGATGGCCCCAGAACCCTGGCCTCTACGGGCCACACCTATGGCCTTCACCCTGCAGTCAGGTCCATGGACAGAAGAGCTGTCTAAGAGAGTGCGCCACTCTTCCTCGGGCTCTTTTTGTCCAATGCCATTTCCTTTTCTTTTTTTTGTTTCCTCTTCCTTCTAGAACTATTCTGAAGAGATTCTTTATGTCATATCCAGGTGCTGCTCCTCCCCAGCTGCCCCCTGGGGTGTGGGGAAGAGGGACAAGGAGGCTGAGCACACAACTGGCCACTTCTCAGTTGCTTCTGCTGCCCACCCCCTGCCTGGAGGGGAGGGGTATCCACGAGGGAGTTGCTCCTGAGATGGAAACAGCTGAAGCACACAGGGTAAGGGATGCAAAAGGGCAGGGTTTCCAGTCAGCTGGGCTGCAGGTATAAAAATGGTTCTAGAGAGCTTTGCTTTGCACGTGCTCCCCGACCCTGTCTACATAGCTGACAAGCTCATCCACAGGGGCCATGGCCCGCACCCCAGAACCTGGGAGCAAGGCTTCTACACAGCTGCAGAGCTCATCCACATGGACCATAGAGTAACCAGGCCCCCACAATCCAGAGGGAGGCATCTATACAGCTGCCAAGCTCACCAGCATGGGCCCTGACCCACCCTGCACGACTCGGGGAAGGCACCGTCACTGAGACCCCGTGTCATAGATATGGTACAAGCAGCCTCAGGAGGTTGGCTGCAGGTGCGCACAGAAGCAGTGGGGATGTGAAGAACTGTCCCCTCGTTCTTCCTTGGAGCAGCACCACAGTGGCGTGCAGTATCTCCCTTCACACCGGAGCCACAGGGAGTGCGGAGAAGTGCAAGGCTATCTCAGAGCTGACATCTAATCCAAGGAGAAGGCCCAGGCCAATGGAGCCTGAGTCCCTGCCCCTCTCTCTAGGTATCCAAACAGCCTGATCTGCTCCCTCCATAAAATCTGAAAAGGTGCAAACTTTTGGGACTCACGGAACCAGAGACTAGGGTCACTTCTCGTGACTATTTCTACCATCTTCCCTTTTAAATAAAAAGCAAACCCCTCAAAATCTCTTTTATGTAAACATGTGCTCTCTGAATTTCATAAGGTTCCTCAATGTCACAGAGCCCAGTCTGTCTACAAGGAGACAGAGGCCCAGAGGATTAAGTGGCTTCCTGGGATGTTATGTGAATCACAGAAAGAGCCAGGATCCAAATTCAAAAGCCCCTGTGTCTCGAGTGAGGGCTCTGGGCACCAGCCAGACTGTGCGGTTCCCTGAAAAATATGCAAACTGCCAGCCAGGCCCAAATCACCAGCACACTGGCATGTCCCACTCCTCCCCGCTCACGGCCCACCAGGGCCAAATCACCAGCACACTGGGATGTCCTGCTTCTCCCGGCTCACTGCAAGGTGAGTTCTGCCCAGTTGCCCCAAGTACACAAATAAATCTGACAAATTAAAGATGGGGAGAAATCAAGCACACATTGGCAATTAATCTTTTCCCTGGGAGAATCTTCCCAGCTCTATAAAGAAAAAAACCATACTTCCCCTGCCCTAGCTCAGCAAGTGACATATTTCCTTAGAGAACAGAGACTTGGAAGACGCTGTGAATACTGCAGGATATTATGTGTATCCTATCATTCAACAAAAACAGAAGCAAAAAGTGTCAAACACTTTTCCAAACTGTTATTGGGAGAGAAGGAAAACACATTATTATTTTGTCAAAATCAGTCACCACAGCAGTCTGAGCCCTTGACTGCACTGACCTTCAGTTCCTGACTGCAAAGGTAAGTTCACCGCGTGCAGTGGTTTGGGAGTTTATTGCCTGCCAGGAGTGGAGATGAAGAAGCCTCTGATTACCTGGGGTATGCTCACCTGTGAAAGCATTTGTGGCCTGAAAACCAGCTTCCGGCATACTGCTCCCCAGACAAGCCCGTGCTGCGACTCTTGCGCTGTCCCGTCGAGGAAGCTGCCGGGCGAGGCTCAGGTCACTTCCATCTTAGCCTGTCCGAGTCCATCGCGCGGCTGGGCCGGCCTCTGGGAGCATCTGCGGCCCACCAGCCCGGCTCCGGCGCGGGCGGCGGTACCTGGGTGTGGCACCTGGGCAGCGGTCCCCGCTCCCGTCAGCCGTCCAGCCAGGGCGCAGAGGCCATGGTGCGGGTGGAGGGGCTGGCCCTCAGGCCCTCAGAGAATAGGCGCCCCAGGCCAAGCCACTGCCAGCATCCTGCAGGGTCGCACCTGCACACGGGAGCTCGTGGTCCCAGCTGCGGCTCTCTGTGCTCCGCCTCTGAAATTGAAAAGCAAGAGGTCACTTTCCTGATGACTGGCAGAAGCATTGCAATTAACAGGCTTATAGAGGCCAGAAAGGAAACGTCACCAGAGCTGCCTCTACAACCCCACTGTGGGCATCGGGGCGCCTGCAGGCGCTGTGAGGGTGGGAGGAGCTCCATCTGCGCCCCCCTCCCCAAGGCCACAGCTGTGCTGGACCCAAGGTTCAAATGTCCTTCCTGGGCCATTCTGCCCTCACAGACACCCTGGGAAAAAACCCATTTCTCAAGCTGGGTTCCCAAAGCCTTAGACTGAGGTCTGTGGTAGATGGCCATTGTGGTCAGCACTCCAGGAAGAAAATTCAGGACTTGCATGAATCAGTTTTTAAAAGTTATTCTCTTTATTATTTTATTTATTTATTTTGAGACAGGGTCTCACTAAGCTGCCAGGCTGGCCTCAAACTCCTGGCCTCATGTAACCCTCCCAAAGTGCTCAGCCTCCCTAAGTGATAGGATTATAGGCATAAGCCAAATTGCCTAGTCTAAAAATTGATTCTTAAGGAGGAAAACAAATGCCTACATTAACTTTTTAAAGACAATGGGAAGGAAAAGCAAATTTAATCTATAAACTGCTCCATATGTTACATAATAATAAAAGCGTTTAACAAAATGTTTTTCAGATTTTTAATGTTTGTTCGATTAAACAGAAAGCAATACTAACAAGAAGAATGTCAGAAGCCCAAAGAATCAGACTTTTAAAACTGACTATCAATCTCCAATATTTGGGAGAATCCTGAATATCAATCTCCAATATTTAGGAGAAGAGAATCTTTTCTATTATCACTTCATCCTAATCAATTTATAACCAATTTTTAGAAATTGCTTATTCTTTTCATCATTGAACTGAAGAAAAAGAACTTAAGAGAACAGACCACATAACGGAAAGGAGCCCTCTGTTAACTGCATGGTGCTGTAAATATAAACAGAAGGTAGTGAAGTAATACATTGCTAATAAATACTAATTATTAGGAGTTCCTTATAAATTAATGAAGTACTTTAATGATACAAAGACATTCAATTCTATTACCTTCATGTATCTATAGTAACGTTCACAGTTAATAAGGTATAGCCCAGTAGGAGTCCTCAAGTTTAAAGAATAGGTAAAATTTTAATTAAAAAATAAATTATTTGTGTAAATGGTGGCTTTGAAGTGTGTGAAAATGTGAGAAAACATTTTTTCTCTGAATTCTAATATTCCACCTAAAAATGGCCAGCATGTAGGTCGTACAGGAACTTCTGAAGAAAACTAGTTGCACTAGCATCATGAACTTTGGGAAATGGAATTTCCTCTGCCAGATGAAAACAAAAGTCCACCTGCCCTAAGACTTTGAGTTTTCTCTGCCCTTTTCTGCAATACTTGGTGTGCAAATATGCTAGACTTTATTTGTTCTCATTCTCTAAACTCAGAAAGAAAACTGAACTGTGGAGAGGTTTTTGCTGTTGTTTTATTATGGGATTTTTGTCTATTTGTTTCACTGTAGAAGTTATACTACCTCACTTTTTAAAAAATCATTGTTATCATAAGGAAACTATCAACAGAATGAAGAGACAACTGACGGATTGGAAGAAAGTATTTGCAAACCATACATCTGATAAGGGCCTAATATCCAAAATATATAAGTAACTCAAACAACTCAGTAGCAAGAAAACAACCCAATTTTTAAAATGGGCAATGACCCGAAAAGACATTTCTCAAAAGAAGATATACAAATGGCTGACCGATATATTAAAAAATGCTCAACATCTCTAAGCATTAGGGAAATGCAAATTAAAGCCACAATGAGATAACATCTCACACCCATTAAATGGCCATTATCAAAGACAAAACATGAGAAGTATTGGCAAGGACCCAGAGAAAAGGGAACCCGTGTAGCTGTTGGTGGGAATGGAGATTGGTACAGCCACTTTGGAAAACAGTATGGAGGTTCCTCAAACACTAAAAATAGAACCACCATATGCTCCAACAATCCCACTGGGAAGGGAAGGTATTTTGACATACCTATTTCAATTCCCTATAGCCAAGGAAATTGAAATAGGTATGTCAAAAATATATTTATACTCCCATGTTCATTTCAGCACTATTCACAGTAACCAAGTTATGGAAGTACCCTAAGTGTCCTTCAGTGTATGAACACATAAAGAAAATGTGGTATACATATACAATGGAGTACTATACAACCTTTAAAAAGAAGGAAACTATGTCATTTGCAACAACATGGATGACACGGGAGGACATTATGCCAAATGAAATAAGCCTGGAACTGAAAGACAAATACTACATGATCTCACTTTTATGTGGAATCTGAAACAGTCAATCTCACAGAAGGAGGGCAGAAAGGAGATTACCAGAGGCAGGCGGAAGGGGGATGGGGAAAAGGAAAATGTTGATCAAAGGTACCAAAGTTTCTGTTGGATTGAAGTAATAAGTTTTAGTGATGTTCTGCATTGCATGGTGACCACAGTTAATAAAAATGTATCACATACTTCCAAATTGCTAAAATAATAGATTTTTAACATTGTTACCACAAAAAATGATGGTGGGGAGGTGATGAATATATTAATTTATTTGAATTGAATCTTTCTACTATGCATACATATACCAAAACATTACATGGTACCCCACATTTATGCAATTATTATTTGTCAAAAAGAGTAATTAGAAAAAAATAAAGTTATCATACATCCCACATGTCAAATGGCTGTGAGAAAGACTGAGGCCAATGTGGATCAAAATAGAGGAAACAACCAACTTCTCCCCCACCAATCCTTAACCTTACGACTCCTAAAAGAGAGGCTGGGAACAGGTGTGTAATAGCTCCCGTGAGGTCTAAGCATTAACATGGCCAGGATTTTTAGGACAATGATGTGTGTGGTTCCCAACAAAAGCAGGACAGACACAGTTGTGTTACCTCATCAATGAATACGCGTGCCTATTCCTAAATACACTCTGAGTCTCCCCCAACGCAATTTCAAGGTAAAATACAATTATAAATGCTGTAAAAAGTCTTATTACTCACTGCTAGCAATACAGATTAGCTACCTTTTCTGGGAATACGTAGCAGAGGTGCAGGCTTCGTTCTGCTCAGTGAAAGACTGTGACCATCCCAAAGGGGCCACAACCCAACAGCACTCGATAAGTGCCTGACAGGTGACCAACAGGCAGGGCAGGGCGGGTAATCAGGACAGAGAAAACTCCGAGGGCCACCGTGGTCAGCAGAAGCCTGCAGGCCCTGTTTTGCACCAGACATGTGCTTTTAGTTTTGAAATCAACCAGCAATCAGCACAGCCACGCTGGGCATCTGTGTAACAAACACACCGAAGTGTGAAAGTTGGAGAAGCTGAACAAACACTGCCTGTGGGCCGTTCCTCCAATCTTCTGCTCTCATGGGCCTCCTGCTCATGAGTTGCCACTCAGCCTTACAGTCTCGGCCCAAACAACCCTCCTTGGAGATGCTTCGTTGATAGCCCCCAGCCTAAGTCCAGACCCTGCTACACAACCCACAGCACCTGGTCGGTTTCCCAACACATTTGCAGTTGCAACTCCACGCCAGTGTCCTGACTGTGTCACACCTGCCCGTCTCTCCCACAAGTGCCATGAGGGCAAAGGCAGCGGCCAGCGGACCGTCCAGGTCCCGTTGGCACCCAGCAGGTGCCCAGTAAATATGTTTCCTGAGCGAACACATGAGTGAAGGAAGGTACTTGTGTGAAGCTTCCCTGAGTAATATACCCAGCACAGAAAAAGCTCAGCAAACACCTACACAACCCCAGCTCCAGCTGTGCCTGGCAAGGGGCATTTCCCAGGTGAAGGTGCTACTCCTCAGCCTGCTTGGCTGGGACCCTCTGGTCTGGTTTTCCCACCAGCCCACTAGAAGAGTCGAGATGGTGATTACAATAATGATCCCGCTGTACTCACACTTCCCAGAAAACCCTATCTAGCAAAGGCCTTTAGAGGTCATTGACTTAAATGCCCTCAGGCTAGAGAGAGAGAGCAAGCACTGGCCCACAAAGGCTCAAGAACTGTGCCCAACACTGGCAGCAGGAGAGCAGGGCTGACTCTGGGCCTCTCGCCCTGAAGGCACTGCTTCCCATGCTACTTCTGAGGCCGAGGAAGCTCCCTAAACCCAAGTGCCCTCTATCAAGAGAGAAAGAGAGCGGGAATACAGGAAAAGGCAGCTTACCCAGACTTAAGGTCACAGTCGAGAGCCCCCCCAAAGCAGCAAGCACATGGTCATCATTCTATACACACACACACACACACACACACACACACACGGAGGTTCTATTTATACTGGGAAGATGGGCAGGACTAACCAGGAAATAAATTAATTCAATATTGCACTTGAAAAAATGTCATTAAGTCCCTCCCAGAACAAAGCAACAGTTACTAAGGAAATAGAGTACATCAAATGGAAAAACCCCCACGGGAAGGGACATTTTAAAAACATGAACATTCACAAGCCTAACCAAGTAAGTTGCAGCATCTGTCTGCCTTACCAGTTATTCACAAGGACTTATACAAAAGGCAATCCTCCTCAGAGTCGTTCAGGAATAAAAAGTGAATGTGTCCGTATTACAGCTTTCATTAAAAGACACTGTAAAAACAGACACATGGGGTTCAGGAAACATGAGGGTCACACTTGGGCACAGAGGCCAAACTCTAATGGAGAAGTGAAACAGTCTTTTTTCCAAAATCAAGTAACATTCAAAAAACTGTAGTGCATAAAGAATTGACGCTGCAGTTTCATTTTTTATTTCCTCCTGCTGTGGACAGACTGTTTCGCTGGCGGAATGTCGGTTACCTAGGTGACAGCTCCACAGCCACAGCTACCGCCGCTCTCCAGGACCCACAGACACTGAGGGCTGAGCCCCGGCCTGTGGACGCCAATCCCTGGCCACTCCCCACCACAGACGTTCCAGGAAGAAAGGAACACTGCAAAATAAAGAGGTCATTCTAAACCTT